CTTCGCAAGACTTGGTCAGAAGGTGGTTGCCTTTGCCTTCCTATGAGACTAAAAGTTTGTAACCTGTTCAAGGTCTCTCAGTGGGTTTCCACGGCCCTGGGAAATTCAGACCCTGATTTCCAGAGTTATCATCCGATGCTGAAACCACTAAACTGTAATGGCAGTCTCTGTGATAGTTTACATTGGCAGATTTTACAATTAACAAGAATGCAAATCTATCTAGTCAGATATGTGCTTTAAAAAAGGCAAAGGTTTCCCCTTAAGTCTAGTCAAGTGTGAGGGGTGGTACTCATCTCCATTTCTAAGCCTAAGAGCTGGTATTGTCTATAGACACCTCCTAAGTCATATGGCTGGCATGACTGCATGGAGCGCCGCTACTTTCCCGCTGGAGTGGTACCTATTAATCTACTCACATTTGCATGTTTTCAAATTGTTAAGTTGGTAGAAGCGGAGGCCAACAACGGGAGCTCACCCTGTCCTACTGATTCAAACCGCCCACCTTCCGGTCAGCAAGTTCAGCATCTCTGCGGTTTAACCCGCTGTGCCACTGGAGTCAATGTGCTAATTCACATATAATCAAGTAACCATATTAACTGTGTGAGATTTACTCTTGGTAGCAACATAGATCATGTCCACCTTATGTCAATGTGTGGAATAACAAATACTTAAGCATGATTGTTGACTTATGTCATCTGCATACCTATAGGAAAAAAAGATGAAAGTTAGGTCAAATCTGTCAACATGTAGTGATTGTAAACACTAATGACTCAGCAGGAAAGCATGGAAATACCCATTTCTATTAATAGAAATTACTTCCGTAGGTAAATTTAAACCAGTGTTTCTCAAACTGTGCTCCAGATGTTTTGGACTTTGGAACTCCCACCATTCCTAGCAGCTGGTAAGCTGTCTGGGGTTTCTGGGAGTTGAAGTCCAAAACATCTGGAGCAGTAGTTTGGGAAACACTGATCCAAACTATCTAGATTTTTTGGATCTGATGAACAGACTGAGTTTTGTTCCTCAGTGGGTTTGAGCCTGACCCAAATGGTTTTCCCAGTCAAGGGAGTTATGTGGATGCTGTTCTACTACTGCTCTGGAAGAAATGTCTTTCATCTCTGGCATCATCTAAGTAGTATCTGTGAGTTATGCCAATCTTCTGAAAAAGGCTGAGATCTTCCAAATTTTACTTTGTGAAGGTGGACTAAAATCATATCAAGTCTGAAACAGTAACCTTTCCGAAAACCCTCACATCCAGAGTTCAGTGTATCTCTTGACACTTCCACAGTAAAGAATCTCTACAATCCCTTGGAGGCAGGGTGTAACTTTTATTTGCTTTTACACTGTAAATAGCTAGAGCGAAGCTAATGGAACTCTATAGACTCTTCCATATTCTCAGCTGAGCCCTCTTTGCTTCTGACGTCAAGCCCCACAAACTTGAGTCCTGGCGTATTGTAACTAAGAACCAAGGATACAAAACAAAACACATTCCCATTTGTAATGGAGCCATAAAATACCCATCCTTATGGAGTCACTCTTTACCTGTTTGTTGTCTTTTATTTTCTTTTAACCTGAGAACGAACACTGCAACCTCAGTGCAGTGAACCTCTCACTTGTTTAGTTTGATAAAGCGACAAGATGCCTTTCAATTTTACTTCTTAGGCAATGGACCCTCTAGGGAACATCCGAATGGACTTTACCAGCAGAGGAAATCTCCCATTTTAAAAAATCACAATCTTCCTTCTCAGGAGAGTGGAAGTACTTGTTGCCTATCCAAGACTGCTCCCTGCTGGAAATACCTGTTCATCACGCCTCTGTACTTGGTTCTCTTCATATCTTTAGCAAGAGCTCTAATTATGCTCATGCGATTCTATCAAGAATTGACTTCTTAAACCAGGGGTCCTCAAAACATTTTAAACAGAGGGCCAGGTCACAGTCCCTCAAACTGTTGGAGGGCCAGATTATAATTTGAAAAAAGCTTGAATGAATTCCTATGCACACTGCACATATCTTTATTTGTAGTGCAAATTTTTTTTTTAAAACAATGCAATAATTAAAATGAAGAATAATTTTAACAAATACTGTAAACTTATTAGTTTTTAAATGGGAAGTGTGGGCCTGCTTTTGGCTGATGAGATAGGATTGTTGTGTTCTTGTGTGCTTTCAAATCATTTCCGACTTAGGTTGACCCTGAGCAAGGGCCGGGTAAATTATCTTGAGAGCCGTATCCAGCCCTCAGGGCTGTTTGAGGACCCCTGTCTTAAACATTGGCTAAAAACAATGGATGTGCCTCATTCGGAGTTAAAAACCACTTCTTTCTGCCAGTATTGGTTTGCTTCTACATGCATTAAGGGCCTGAGGACATATGTGTATATGCACATATAAGGAGGAGTCCATTGAAAAATGCAGGGTGAGGGCTGGGCTACTGACAGGGGCCAAGAGCTAAAGAGCCAGTCCTCTCTGTAAATGCTCTGAGAAACAGAATCCCCATACATTACCTCCAATGCCACAATCAGTCAGTAGACATTTCTGAGTCAGTTCCATCTTGCACCACATCTGTAGGAGAGTTCTTTCTAATACTCAGATTGGGCCGTGCACCATCTCCGTTGCAAGGCCCACTCTGCTCCTTTTGGAGCCACTAGCATCCAGAAGCCCCATTGTGAATGACTTTGTAAAGAGGTGAAGATTCAGAAACCAAGCTGACAGCAAAGGCACGGAAAGATGCCCTCTCCATTTCCCCCCAAATAAAACGTTTTCAGAAACAGAACTGATTGCAAATGGGGAAGCAACTAAACTGAAAGCAGGTTTGTTCCTCCCCCCTTCAAGCTTGATTTACATATTACTGCCTCCTCTGCTGCAGGGAAACTATCCTTCACACCTTATGCTCAGTGGGCCATTGGCTACAATGGCCAAGATACAATAGAAGTATGCTAAACCATCAATCTATGCCAAAAGTCCTATGTCAATGCTTGGAGCATAATGGCTGCTTCTTCTTCCTTGTCTGCCCAAGGCCTACTTTTTTACTCTTGCCTATAAAATACAGTACTTTATTAGAAATGTGCATTATATTCCTTTCTCCAAATCTGGGGTTATTTCATGGAGTTAACCTTCTTAATCTCTTTAAACAGTCTAAGATTATGCTCCCACTAAAGCAAGAGTTTATCTCACACCTGTTAAGTAGCAATATTTTTAAATATGTGTTACATACATACATACATACATATATATATGTTATTTTGGCTCTTTATTTTAAGTTCTATAGGAATCTACTTATTTTATAAGTTATAAAAATAATATACACAAATCTTAAGCAGCGAGTTCTAAATACCCATATTGAATCACTTTCAATGCATCTACCATCTATGGAACTTGGTACATTATGCCCACTGGGGGGTGGGGATCAGAAGAAGAGGGCTGTCGCCTCCAGGATGCTATATTTTGAACACAATCACATCAGTAAGAGCTCAACTAGCAGGAGTCAACTTTTCTGTTGGCAAAGACAGGACACATGGAGCCAGAGCAAAAAGGAGGAAATGTTGTCCCTGCTCTGATCCATTTGCTCCTTCTGTAAATCATGTGAGAATTCCTTGAGATTTTAAAAATAAAAATGAGCCTAACTTTAAATATGACCATTTGTTTGGTCACAAACTTGCGCCTGCACTATGTGTTCTCTAAGTGCCTGGAAAACCGTTTAATTCTAGTCAATGTTAGTTATAGCAAGTGCCGAAGCTTGCATGTTTTATTCTTAATTCTGCAATTTTTACCCAGACTGCATTTTTCGGCTTAGGGTGGGGTTTTTTTTTGTTATTTTATTGTTTTATCCCATTCCCACCCTCCCCTCCTTGTACATGCAATTTACACAGCAAACTATAAAAGTTACATTTAAAATATAAATCTGTCTTAATTTTTCCACTCCACATCTTAGCACTTTCTCTAAATAATTCCTAACTGGTTCCCACATCCTCTTTCCAATTTTATCTATATTGTTTCATTTGCAATTTATTTCTACATTTAATATATTAACTATATACTTACACCAATTAGTCAGTGTCCATTTTGTTTTATCTTTCCAACCCCTCACCAAAACAATTTGTGCGCACACTATTAATTGTCAAGCCATTTTTCTTTTTGAATATTCTTCACGCCTGTTATCCTTGTATGTAGTACATTCCTATTAACTATTACTATTTGTAGATTTAACATTCTATTGATTTCTCTTTCAATCATTCTCCAGTATTCTTGCATTCAATCACATTCCCATATCATGTGACATAATTGCCATTATTCATAAGAGTGAGAAACAGAAATGAGCAAGGAGTAGTGATAAGTCCTGAAGTGGAGTCCCAAGATTTCCAGAAACCATGCATTCATGTGTATTTTCCCAACTTTAAAACAACAAAACAAAAATAACAAAAAACCATTCACAAATCCAAAACCCTTATTACCACATCTTGGAAAGTGGAACTGTTATTTTTAGGAAGGCACTGTATGCACTTAAGACGTAAGTCTTCTCACCATACACACACAACTTTATGTGACTTATTGTCAATTCACATTCTGGGCGACTTAAGCTTCTTGGAAGCTCAGTGGGCTTGAGATTATCCAAGACATCCCATTCACCATAGTTGGTTTTCCTTTGCAATGTGTAGTTGTAGGAGATTGCTGGCTTTATTAAGAAATGCACCTATTCCCCACAATGACTGCCTAAAGGTCAGGCTGATGTTTTGTGTACACACCCATGAATGTTTACAGCTTTATAGAAGAAAACTATGAAAAGGATTCCCTCTAGGCATACTGTGGACATATTAACAATAAGAAAGCATTCAAATATCAGAGCGTCTGCTTTTAGCTACCCACATCCTGGTACACCTCTTGGCAATCCTCCACATAATCGCAAAGATTTCTTTTTTCCCCAATACCCACACAGCTGTTTAAATTGTGTGCTAGTTAATGTAGCTTTAGTCTGGCTGCATATATAGTTTAGTCTGAAAAGCTCGTGAACAGAATTAATTTTTCAGAAGGGCATTTAATAGGCTTCGTGAAGCCAAAGAACTGAATACAGGAATTCCTTAACCACTTTTAGTACAATATCGAGTTACATGTGAGTCTTCCAGTTTAAAAAAAAATATAAACAAACATTTTTCAAGAACAACTTGCAAGTTCTGCAAGCTTCAGTTCTAGGTACATCATACAGTATAAATTCTGATTTCTGAAGATCAAACAAATGAGACTCCCTTTATAATGAAGGGGTTTGCCTTCCACCATACCCCTTCCTCGCTACACCATAGGACTTTTACAAAACTACAAGGTATTAATGCATTTATAAAAACAAGGAGGATCTTTACACCTTGTTCAGATTCTGGGAAACTGTATGTCAAATAAATGTCAGAGCCCCCATCCTAGCTTGTTAAAAGAATGTGAGGGCAGGGGAAGCACGTATGTATTCAAAATGCTTAAACACTCCTGTAAAAAAAGGCAAATTAAATGTTTTCCTCCAGAAAGATCTAACAGGCCATCCTGTCGCAGAAGCTGGTGGGCTGCTCATGATAAAGACTACAAAAAAGGGAAATACAGGTAGAGAACTAAACAAGATTCAGCGAAGCTCCAAAAATCTTTATAAATACGACCATTGGAAGGACGATCTTGATTCAGGAAGGATTTATGCTCGGTGTAAGCTGAGGACAAGAAGCAGGTACAAATCGTAAAGCACAATGAAGAACACGTGGACATTCACCTAAACAAGACACCCTCCACCCAGCCCAGGGGCACTATTCACAACCAGGGGACATGGTATACTGGCCATTAACCTGAGTATGATGAAGGATGACAGGGCACCGAGCTTCCTGTTTTTCTACAGCTTTTAAGATACTGATCTATCAATGAGTGGGTATCTGAAGGCAATTTGTTTTTAGAAGTATGACCTTATTCGGAATGTGGCGGTTTAGTTCCCACAAACTTACGGTTCGGAGGAAGTTCCCGTGCGTAAAGGCCGTAGTCAAGATTTTTTATGGGCTGGCCCAACAGTCTCCCTTTAAAAAAAGGTTTGTGTGGATGGATTTAACTCTCCCGTTTTGTGCTATTCCGCCAGCTGGTCAGTTCTCCACATTTATGCTAGACCACTGATGAGGACCAGAGTTCTGCTGGCAAAGTTAGACTAGGTGGTTAGAGGACTGAGCACTATGCTTCCATAGCTACGGCAGGACAGGAGCCAATGGTATTTAAATCCACTGGGGCCTTTCAAACATATATTCTTACCTAGTTATCGTAGTTGTCTCTGTAGGAGCTCCCAGAGTAACGGTCTCCATAGCCTCCTTGATTCCTGTAGCAAAAAAAATAAAAAAAAATTAATCTGCATATCTTCTATTAATCTTATTAGCTAAAATGTATGTTATTTGAAACTTTAAGAAAGACAATAATGTTGAAAGGCTCTGCCTATACAAACTAGGATCTATTTACAACTATGGCCACTTTGAACATATTATTTCATTACTGTGCAACTAATATTTAGAGTTACACGAAGGCAAACCGCTATTACTTCCCTACTTCTGGATGGTGTTCAATGATGTCGAGTTGGCTACACAGACTCAGAGCAGTGTTCTCTTAGCTGGAATAAGGAAACACTCCACTAAACTCAAGGGCTCCTAAGAAGTGTGCGTATTTCATGACTGACCTGCTAGTAACTGTTACTATTTGTAGAGCATATATGCATCGTAAGTCACTCTACTCTAATTAAGCCAAACATAGAACTGAAACAATCCCATAACTTTTTCTTGTTTACATTAGGTTTCCTTGAATGATTTTAGACTGTAACCTTCTTGGAACAGGGACCTATAAAATCTGTTCTTTACCGAGTTCCATGTAACTATTCAGAATATTCATAAGAACACAATCTCTTATAACAAGCTAGGATGGGCGCAGCAATTACTATTTTGTTGTAAACCTTGAGGGAGACAGAAGTAGGTTGGAAAAAATCCAAGCAGTCACCCATCCCACACCCGAGACTAAACCAACCAAAATAAAATATTCAGTACCACTACCAACCATACATATATTGCACCTGCAATTCTAAGATGCACCTCATTTTGAGAGATGTTTATATAGGGAAAAAAGTGTGTCTTAGAATTGAAGAAATAAAGTGCCGTATTTGGGGAAAAAGCTCAATTTCACTATCCAATTATAATAAGAGCACTTCCCCTCTGCTAGAATTACCTGCTGCCATAGTAATCTCTGGATCCTCCATAGCCACCGCTTCTGTTGTCATAACGGCCACCTCCATATCCTCCACCTCCTGAGGCAAAAATGGAAGGATTAATGCTCATTGTCCTTATGCAGACAAGCATTCAGCATTGCAGAGCAAAGGCGAAAACCAAACTCACCTCTAGAGAATCCACGGCCACGGCCTCTGCCTCCTGAAGAGCCACGGGAAGATTTGCCAGCTTGGTCAACTCTGATCTGACGGCCATCCACAGACTTCAAGGAAAAGCACAACAAAGTCAGACTTAAGAATATTTATATTAAAATGATAACAGCAGGAGCACAGACTGCAAGAGGTGCCTCTTTGGGACACTAATCAAAGTGTGGATGTCACAATTGCTCTGAGCTCTTTCAATCCTGCTTAGGGGAACAGGGCAAATTCCTTTAACATTGAATGCTGCCTAACAACAGAGAAAAATGTACTCAAGGAAATTCCAACTCCTGGTTCATCTGCAAGCTCATGCTTTTGAAATAATGTTACCAACAACATTACAGCCCAATTAAGATTCAGTACAGGCTGGGCCCTTTAAACTGTAATATTATGTAGCTAACTGAAAACAAACATCAATGAACTCAAATAGGATTTGTTTGTGAGTGGCTAGAATTTCTTAGACATAAAAAGCATTTTCTTTGATTTTGTTGTTTAAATTTGTTTAGTGTGCAGTAAATATCAGCAAGAGGTGCCATTTCACACAAGAAATATGTGTATAAAAAAGATTTGATCTAGTAACCCTAGATATGCTAGGACAATGTTGAAAGAGATGGATTCCGTGAAATAAGAACAATGCACAATGGGAATCTCTGTGGTTATGTGAAATGCTTACCTCTCCATTCATGGCTCTCATGGCATCCTTTGCATCCTCTGGGCGGCAATAGGTAATAAAGCCAAACCCCCTGGACCGCTGAGTCTCTCTGTCTTTTACCACCACAACTGGAAATGACAACGAAGTATCACCTTTAGATCACTTCAACCCTTCATATATTACCCACAGAAGTTAGTTGTTGGTCTTTTTCTCTAGCTCTCTACTTAATCTATCAGACAGACCCTATGGTGGCCAACCACAACAGCTTAAGTACGCTCTTGAAACATCATACAAAAATAATGTTCTGTTAAGGTTGAAGAACCCTGCCATTTAAAACAGCTTTTCCCAGCATGTTACTCCTCAGATATTTTGGACTAAAGCTCTATCAGCCTGAACTCAATCACTGGCCATAATATGCCAATGGTTGAGTTAAGAGAGCTATAAGTTCAAAACATAAGGAGGGCTGGGTGGACTGCTGAGATAAAAGAAAATAGTATTAGTATAGAGAAAGGTAGTTTATTAAGCAACGTTCAAGATATAATCTGCCTACAAAGCGGCCAGGACAAACTGCAATAATACAGAATATCAATTAAGAACACTGTTGTGTTTGATTGTTAATATTTTCAAACACAACCACTTTGAAAACGCCCTCTGGGGTAAGAGCTGATTTTATGACATTTCTCATATAATTCTTAATGAGGAAAAGTACTGTTATAAGGAAGTGGCAAGCAAACAGGCAATGAGCTCAAACCTTAATGCAACTGTAAGGCAAAAAATGGAACAAAGGAGAGATGTTTCCTTGGGGTATGAGTGTAGGGAGGAATAGTAAGGACAGAGGCCACGGGACAGAAATAGCATTGTTTGCTTATTTCATTAACTGGGTTCATATCAAAATAAATTAAGATAATCACATCATTGCGTCCTGACTGTCCCCTGCATGGCCAGATATAGAGAGGGCCTCTTCAACCTGCGTCCCTCCAGCTCCCAGAAGCTCTAACCAGCTTGTTCAATGTTCAATGTTCAGGCATTCTGGCAGTCCAAAACACCTGGAGGGCCACAGGTTGAAGAGGCTTGCACTAAAATATGTATAACTCAAAGAAAACAAAATGTGTAATACCCACTGTGGCAGCACCAAGTACAGTACTTCAGAATGGTGCCATATGCTTGTCTATATTAACAAAACAAACCATTTTGTGCCAGAAAGAAGCCTGAATGGGTGAGAACCATTTACCTCATACACTCACCATGTACACACAAGATATATGCTTTAACACAGATGACCATGGAAACGTACCAGAAATGGCTGCGGCTTATCATTGCACACAATTCAAAACAAAAGATTCTAGGATCTTTTGTTTGACAAGCTGGCATGTCACATATTAGAACGGTTCTCAAGTGCTATGTGTAGTTAAATGTATCCAAACACAAACCCACTAACTCCAACCATGTGGCTTCCCATGCTGTAATGTTAACATGCCTGAAATCTTTCCTTACCTTCTGCAATGTCTCCATAGGGGGAGAACAACTGCTCCAGGTTCTGCTCATTGGTGTCAAAACTGAGTCCTCCAATGAAGAGCTTTCCTTCATCTGATGCCATTTTTCAAGTGATCTGTAGATAAAATAATGCATTCAAATCTAAAAGGTGCAGATGGGAATATGGAAAAGAACAACAAACTACACACTGATGCACAGGGACAGAGTAACAACCTATTATCCACTGCACTGCTTAGCTAGCAAACTAAAGGATTACCAATTGTTACTTCTTTTCCAGTACTACCCAAGGTATCTTTTACAACCGCAATTTCCTTCCTCTTGCCAGCTTAATCACTACATCTGCTGCAAAGCAAGTGTTGTCATAAAGCAATCATATGATCATGCTTTATGGCTACAGACTGCCTCAGGTATGTATGGCTAAACCTTCCCACGTGTTCTGTAGACTTGAGGGTCCAAGCACAGTTTCAATTTATGCTAGAAGTCTTCTTTAAAGACCCAACTGAGACTAACAATTATCTGTATTAGTTGAGTACTGCAAGATTACTGTTTTGCATTCTCTTATGTGCCTTCGGCAGGGTCATGTGGAATCTGGAGGATTGCTGTTGGTTCTTTTTGTTGTTGCAGCTATTCATTTTTGAAGGAGGCTGTTCTGTTTGTGTACAACACCCTTGCTCCTATGCATGCTTAGATGGAAAAAGTCAATTTTATGATTTTTTATCAACATATAGAAAGGCAGACTCTTATTGAGCTAGACTTAGAAGTCATTTTTAGAGGATCTTGTTCCTAGGTACACATGCACAAAACTGTACTTGGACCCTAATTAAAAATGCGCAACTATGGCTGTACATAAATCCATTTGTGTATATCATAGGGAATATGAGTCTGTGAAATTTTGTGGGCGTTTTTTTAAAGTTATCTAAGACACCATTCCTTCTTGTGGTGGTTCCATTATATAAACTGTAAACTAGAGCAGCAACTTTATCCCCCATTGCTATTACAAATGGTTGCAAATTGTTTGCAAAGTAATAGCCCTGAATTTACAAGACCACCAACAAATTTCCTTTTTGTTGTATTGGACCATACTCCTATGGTGCACACCTTTTGTGGAATTTCTACATTTAATGCATATAAGAGTATCCATTGTACAAATAACTATGTACTGTAGGATTGGGGGGGGGGGGTGCACATATGCATGCCCAAAAGCAGGGGATATAGTTGGGCACATGAGAATTCACAGAATTGCATACTTAACTTCATTGAACAAGGGCATAAATATTTACACTTTTCATACTGCAGGATCCTCAAGTAAAACATGACTATAACACATTTGCATCTGATAACTGATCCTGACTAGAATCTATTTTCAATTTTGCTTCAGAAGATGTAAAGGGCTTATCCAAGATAGAATACCCATATACAGCATTCTCCATTATTCTCAAAAGACACAGCTTTAACTAGGGTCCCATCTACACTAACTATTTAACACAGCTCTAAACTAGCTTTTGCACTACAAAATGAAGCCCTTAATATTTCCTCAGTGCTCTGTTCCTTGTGCCATCATCACCCGTGCCTCAAACCGGTCCCAGGATTTTATTTATTTATCCATATCTCACTTTTTCACTTCATAGTGGCTCACAATAAAAAACATTACAATTTTATATATATATATATATATATATAAATATATATATAATAAAGAAACTATATTGTTATATATTATTATATATTACCAGTTGTATTATATTTAATATTAGTATTATTATAATAAAATTATATTGTATGATTAGCATTATATTGTATAGCATATTATCAATATTATATGTATGTATATTTATATTATTAGAATAACAGATTAGTGCTAATATACCACTATATATTACATCATATATTATAATATACCACTATAGTGCAATATTATTAGTAGTATTTATGTACTATATAATATATAGTTTTGTATATGGAAACTGCATTAAAAGGTCAGCGTTAAGTGGGGTCCTAGTTTTGGCAAATAGCAGCGCACTTTAGTGTGAAGGCTCCTTCTTTGGAGGCTTTTATGCAGACGCCGGATGGCCATCTGTAAGGGGTGCTTTGAGTGCAATTTTCCTGCTGCATGGCAAGGGGTTGGGCTGGATGGCCCACGAGGTCTCTTCCAACTCTAGGATTCTATGGTTAAACCTCGCATTCGGCCTATGTGCTCGGGTTGCCTATTCGAATGTATAGCATGCTGTATCTTTGCGGGTCCAATCATAATAGCCCAATGTGCAACTAAAATGGCAGTGCCTGGGAACATCCCTCCCGTTTGACTTTCTTCCGAGCAAAACACGCCCAGAACGGGATTGCTATTACGCTTTAGATTCTAACGTTTAGAAAAGGGCTGGTAATAGAGGGTAAAACCTGGGGATGGTTTAGTCTGCAGGACCCCTGCAAAATGACGCCCGGCACATGTGCTGTTAAAGGGAGAGGCCACAATGTATGCTCCACGCACAAAGAGCGCCGTGTGCTTGTAACGTATGCGGAAGGGAAACGAGGGCTCGGGAAGAGTTGGCGTTCCCTCCCCCAATGAACCCCCCCTCCTCCCCCCTGGAGAAAAATGGCCGCGAGCACGTGGTCTCCACAGAATGCGGGAAGGCGCGCGCAACCTCTTTTCACGTCTCAACGGTAGGCGCGCGAACGCAGAGGAGCATGCGCAGAAAAGGGTCCCCTCCCCCCTCTTGACTCGCGCTCGGCCAACGGCCTTTTGTGTGTGTGCGCGCGCGCCATAGAAGGCCCACGCCTCGGTTTCTGTTCGGCCTTCCGAGGCGACGCCTTTCCCTCGAAAGCAGGCCTCGCTCGTTCCCTTTTCCGCCCTCAAAGCCAAGCAAGCCGCGAGGAGGGAAGGAAAAAGGCGCGCGGGGGTGTGTGCGTTTGCGTTTTACTCGCGCATGCGCACACAGGCCCCACTTGTTCTTTCTACGCCATTTTGTGCAGCGCCTCTCTTCCCCGCCACCCCCCCCCTTCCAAATATTCCAGGGGTTTAAAAGAACCTTTTCTCTGCGCAATTTCTCCTCCTCGACTGGACTCAGACGCCTTATCTGAATCTCCCCCAACTACCTTGAGGTGCTTTTCAAAGGAAAAACCCCACTCACCGGTCTTGGAGCAGGGGATGCGCAAAGAGCCGTTAGCCACTGAGGAAGGAGAAAGGAGCGCGATGGCGGCAAGAAAGAGGGAGAGACAAGGGAGAACGCGAGCGAGGCTGCGTCGAGGCCACGCCCTTCGCGCGGATCCGCAGCAACGATTGGCTGGAGGCGCAAGGGGGCGGCGCTTATTAACAATAGCGGCCACGCCCACCTCCCCCAAATCAAAAGGAGGACCAGCGAGGGGAGGGGGCGCCGCGCCTCTTCTCTGGGCTCGCCTTTTTCCTCCCAAGCACCTCCCCCAACTATTGCCGGCATTTCCAGAAGGGGAAAAGGCTCTGAGCCCCATCTGGACGGAAGAGCAACCCATGCGTATGACTGAGCAAACTTAAAAGCCACTTGTTCCCATACCAAACATGGAGAGGACCAGTTCTGAACCTATTGCCAAGCAGATGTAGAAAGTGGCCAAAGTGATCCCCAAAATGCCTCACATGTTATGGCTGATTCCAGCATTCCTTCCACCCCTAGGAAGTTGCTTTGGGGGCACCCTCCACCCAAGAATCCACGGCCTGGATCCCATCATTAGTCTTGACTCATACATAAATCCCTTTCAACCTCATGGGAGACCCTTTCATAGCTTCTTTGCAAGACCACATCACTTTGTGTCATCAAGTGGTGTTGTGCGGCATCACAGGAAACCTTTATCTTTGCCTTGTCTTCCGATTTAGCAGTAAAAGTGGATCATTTTATTATTTTTATTAAACTTTATTTGTACCCCGCTAGCATCTCCCAAAGGACTCGATGCTGCTTACAAAGGCCAAGGCCTTTATTCCCTCCATGGGGATGTTGCATTAATCAGGAGGGCTTTGTGTAACCCATACTCATGATTCTCATTAGGAAGCAGCTAATACACCTCTCTTGGCATGTCAAACGTCCAATGAAAATTACAGCCCAATGTGGTTTTTACATTATACACTTCTTTGCCATGAACTTCCTTCTACTAAATGCCTTGAGTTTTTGGGAAAGTGTTTTTGAGACAATGCTTCAAACATTATGAAATTTTCCCTGTGTCTATATTCTGTAAATTATTTAAACATACACAGAACCGATCTTCAAACAAACTCCTGCAGCAAACCTGGCATTCAGCAGGCCAAAAGCTCTATACAATTGATTACTATTTTGGGTTGTTGTACGTTTTGTTGGGCTATATGGCCATGGTCTAGAGGCATTCTCTCCTGACGTTTCGCCTGCATCTATGGCAAGCATCCTCAGAGGTAGAGGATGCTTGCCATAGATGCAGGCGAAACGTCAGGTGAGAATGCCTCTAGACCATGGCCATATAGCCCAACAAAACGTACAACAACCCAGTGATTCCGGCCATGAAAGCCTTTGACAATACAATTACTATTTTGTGTGAAAAGCATTGCATAAATAGATATGAAGCTGTTGAAATAAAGGGGATAAATATTTTAGACCAAAAATGGGCAACAGCTTCTTTTTGGTACATTAACATAAATTGTATATATATATTTTATACAATTGATGTTACAATACAAAACAAGGCAGCACTTTTCCGGGCAAACTTTTCAGTACAGCCACTTTCTTTCCCAAGCGTTCGGGCTAAACAAAACCCGCTAGCCTGACTTCATTTTAGAAACAAGATTTTAAACTGAACATGCAAAGCCAAGCTTATTTCAGTTGCCAATTATGTTTTTCACTGGCGATTAGAAAAAAGGTAAATTTAGAATGTGCCTAGCTGATGTGGCTACTAAAATTACAAAAAAGTATACGTTCAATCCAATTTAAACTTACTAAAAACACGACCTTTGACAAAAAATGTCCTTTATCAATAAATGTATGCTGTTCCTTTTAAGGACACTAGATTACACTATAAAAATGACAAGAAAGGGTTAAGGGGCTGTTTTTTCTGTAGTGTGCTGTGCATTCAAGGATTCTTTAATTCACATTTTGGAAAACTAGTAATGGGAATATTCATCTTCCTATTCCGTGAAAGATCGGTTCTGAATGAAATGACTCCAATAGGTCTCATGTAGACGTCAAATAACCGATTAACAAACTAGTTTAAATTATACTTTAAAAGACTGTAAGCAGTGAAAAAGTTTCACTGCAGATACTATTTTTGAAATTTTTACTGCAGACACTATTTATAAATTTTAATTAAACTTTATTATTTCTACAGAAATATTATTCCTATTATCTTAACAATGTGTGTGGTTTCCTTCAAATGATTCCTTTTGGTAGCATATCACAAGCAGAATGACACCGAGCCAGTGACTATTCAATCAAAATACTTTATTAAAAATACACAATATTACCAGTTTAAAAATCAGATGCCATAGCATAGTATTCCAGAACTTTGCCAGTAATTTGAGGCATTACTATAATGAAGACTTTTATACAACCAGTCTCCATATTGTTATAGCTAAACAGAGTACAAACTTACCCAAACTGTTAAACACACAAGTTCCATCTGAACTTGAATAGCATAACCATTATGCTGTTCAAATGTCCATAAAGTATTTATATCACAATATTACATGCACAATGAAATCAGTTATCTTGCTTTGCTCAGTTGCCACATGTTCTATCAGCCTCAACACAGATCAGATGTGACGTCAGCAACCTGATATAAAATAGATGAAACTGAATTAAGCAGTGAACGAAAGTATTAAGTACACAGCAAGTTTGCGCAAGGATTTTGTACAACATCAGTCCCTTAATTCAAGCATATGTGGTTCTCCCCACCTCCTAATTATGTCTCTATACAATGTAAAACAAACCTTCACAAATGAACTCCTTTCCTCCACGGGACCTGGAAAAAACATACAATTCTGTCTCATTACACTGGCAGCCCATATACCAAAAGATAGCTGGATGCAAGCCGAGGACTTTAACAATTTTTGCTTTTACCAACTTACACATACAATATAGGGTGTCTCACAAGTCGCCACACATCGGGGAAATGTTCCTTTATTTATAAAATACTTATTCTAAATTTTACAAACTATTGTGTGTGTGGTATATCTCAAAGTATAAGATCATAAACAGGAGGGTTAATTTTTTCTATGTATGGAGACTTTTAGGACATCCTGTATTATCCATTATTTTTAATAATTGTTTTAAAAAATCTGTGTCCATGATAGGTCTACAAATTATTAATTCTATTACAAACATTGCAACATAGTATGGGTTGCATGCATGTCATCAAGTGGTGCATTTTATCTCCTAACAAACTGAATCCGGCTAGATTCCTACCATTTTCAAGATCACTAAGGTAACAATAAACATTTTAATTATGCTCTGTCTGCAACCTTTGAAGCAGTTTCAATTCAGTAGTATCCCTCTGCTGAAATTTAACAGTGATGGGAAGCATGTTTCAACCATGGTAAAATTCAGTGCCAGGCAATGAAAGTCTTGTTACCAGTCTTAAGGAAAGGACAAAACCTTGCTTACTTTGTAGCATGGGTTCGAAATCCTGAGTGGAAGAGTTCCACTTCATATTCTCGTACTCCATTGCTGGATGAAGCACAGCTTTTCAGGACACAGTAGCCACCATCTCATTTCTTACCTGCCAAAAACAAGTCAGTATCACTTAACACAAGATCACTTAAAATTCTCATGTGCAGATTACAACATCCTAATGGAATACTCCAGGTCTAGGTGTTTACCTAGCCCTCGGGAGATTCCCCAAACTGGTATTTATTAAGATTTTTATCCCATATTTAGCTACTTGACCAAATCCACCACATATTTTAAAAAGTTGTTTTATGAAGTGGGAACAAAAGCCTCCCTCACCCAAACCATGCTGCACTGGGAAAGACCTTTCCGAGTAACAGTCCAAGGTCCACACAAGGCATGATTACAAGGTATTGGACACTACTGGTATCAGAGCCAACTGGACGAACCTTAAGTTTAGCGGACTGCCTTCCATTCTGGCAGAATCTCAAACCCCAAGAGCCAAGGAGGCCCACCCACCCAGGACAATTTTTTTTTATAGCAGATTCAGTCCAAGTTCTCCTGGGGTCCCAAGGAGACCCCAGACCTGCCCAAGTTTGTTAAAAGTAGGTAAGAATCAATGGATTGCTGTAGCCACAAGTATGAGCTCTCTGGAAGAGAAGATGCAGACATGAGCAAAAGAGTTACCTCGAAATACAGGACTATTTCCACAATTGAACTAGCCAAGAGCAGCTTTCGTCTCACATGGATCGCACTGAAGGAGGCACAACACACTTCGGGGTCTCCAAGGACATTGGCTTCCACACGCTAGCAGAGAATTCTCACAGTGTAAGAACAGGACAGAGCTAACTACAGGTAGGCCCATCTAAATACCAACATCAGTTCAGCCTTAACCATGGACTAAGCCGGGTCCCCCACTTCCAACAGCTTCCTTCTCCACCACCTCTTCTAACAGAATCAATTTGTTTCCAGCCAAATATGGCATATCCTGTTTTGTACAAGTGTCCCAGGTCTTCTTCCTTACCAACAGTACTAAAGTGTATTGCAAGTGTTACTAACCCTTATTTGAAGGTTTACAAATGTTGAGGTTACCAATACTATTACTACACAGTAAGGTGCTTTACTAAATTTGTTTGACATCCCATGCCTCGTTCCCTCCATGAATCTAATGACTCCCAAGCCAGAGATGCTATTTTGCCTACTAGAATAAAGGCTTTGTTACATTAGCCAATATTTGGTAGGTCAAATAGAAAGCCCAGTATCTTCAGGGACCACCATATCGAGAGACTCCACTGATATCCTTGTCAGAAGACTCCCAAGGCTAATTGACCACCTCTGGCTGCCACCCATTTACAATATTCATTTCCCCAGGACAACAATGTTGATACTAGCACATCAAACATTCGGGAGAATTAGAAGCATTGATTGATATAAGGTTTCCTTAAAATCTGAGCCATTTGATACATAATTAATTGAGTATATATAATCTAGCTAGCAAAATGCTTCTACAGATTATGGTGCTAATCCATGTTCAGACAATGCTTTATTTACATAAGTGCAGGTAATGTCGCCAATCGAATCATTACATTGCTTGGCTTTCCGATCATTTTTCATTTCACATCAACACTTGTTAAGTATTGGTTTAT